GAACTCATTTGATACAGCGTCTCTTTCCTTAACAGAAAGTCGTAGGTTCGACCCCTACCTGGCGCGTTAGATAAATTTTTTTGGTATTTGATAAAAAATAACTAAAAAACAATTAAAAAATGCGTTTAAAATAAAAAAATGAAACGCGCCAGGTTGGGGTCGAACCTACGACTTTCTGCTTAGGAAACAGACGCTCTATCCACTGAGCTACAGGCGCTGTTTGAAGTGATATGTTTTATTATGTTAATGATTGTATTACATTTTGATTTATTGTCTTCCATTGGGCTCAGTTGATATGGGGTGGACTTTAGTTTTCTTGATAAATAAGGGCTTAGACTTTTGTTTGTACAATATATAAACTAATTAAATCGATTTTGTTGTAAAATGGCCTATTTATCTAGCTCTTTGGTTTGTGTTTGTGGAAATACATAAGAACATAATAACGATAATGGAGAGCGAATGAGAGAATGCAAAGAACAAGAATCCGTAGAGAGAAAATTGTGGGTATCCATGGGGAGGGAGTTTTTCTCATTAATATAGGTGTAAGCCACCGGAAGTTACAAGGAGGAGTTACAAATGGAAGTTCCATGGAAGTTATTCCTGCACACATCATGGGACTAAGGTGTGGGAAGTTTACACTAGTGGGAGGTTGAAAACCATCAAGTGGTTACGTTAGGAAACCACACATTCCATACTATTTACAACAGATTTCATTTTTTTATTTTGTTTTTGGATCAGTATACAAAATCGATTTCAAATTTGCAGAAAGCGGGCTATTGTACTGAGAGGAGTAACAAGGAAATGGAGGAACCGATCGGAAAATTCTGCAACACGGTGGCGAAATTCTGCAACCACCTCGATTCCAGCTGCTCCGCCCTCAAAGATTCCGTCGATCGGCGCCCCATCCCCCTCGGTACTATACCTCTCATTACCCCCATTTCTGAATCTGTTTTATTGCAATTTCCCCTGATTTTTTTGCTTCCGCAGATTCTGCGTCGAAAACCTTCTTGCACAGCGTTAATAGCAGAGTATCTGCCGCCGGAGACGATTTGAACATGCTAGAATCCATGTCCTTCGCCACCGTCTCGTTCGAGGAGCTTCTCGGCCACTGCAACGAGGTCTTGAAGAAGAATCAAAATGACATTTTTGCCCTCCAGGAACACCTCCGTTCCTCCTCCAACTACATTCCTCCACGTTCGTTCGTCTCATCTTACTTCAAATAATAATTCACTTTTTTCGGTTCCTTTTGGTTTGTTTTTTTTTATTATTTAATGTTCATTCTCTTACGTTGTTGTTTAGTCGATTTTGATGAAGATGATGCCCTAGAAGACTCTGTCTTGGATAATTTCTCAACCGGGAGTAGCAATGATGTTGCAGAAGACGATACCTTGTATGATCCAATGAAATTTCATCATGAAAATTTACTCCAACTTAATTTGAATTTTTGTAAATCGGATGGACCGTTTCATATGGTTTGCTTTACTTTAACACATATGATGTAGGCTTGACGACACGATGAGTTTAAAGAATTTTGGGATTTCCGATGTTTGTCTTGCAAGCATTGCATCTCAAGGTGAGTTGATTGAATTCTAGCAAGATTACGTAAGTTCATCTATGCTCTTGCTAAAAAGTAAATGACTGTTTCTTTTCATGTTCATTGTGCATGTGGTGTGAAGCAGACAGTAGATTTGAGATGGATGAGCCTGATTTTCTGATAGAAGGTGTGAGAATTTCTTGATTCTCAGAAGTTTTATTATTCTTGATACATAGTCCGATAGTATATGAAACACGTGACTGATTGATTGATGGAGTTGTTTATAATGGAAACTAGGGGAGACAACTGATGCATTGGACCAAAATGAGGATTCTCGGCTTCGTTTGAGCATCTCAAAAGATGATTATGAAAGTCTCCCAAAACACATGCAGGGTTTGGTACCGTGGGAGGTATGATATTTTTGGCTTGGTTTCGTTGTGCTTTTATTTTGAGGTGTACTCTGCAAGATCTAGGTATTGAATCGCTACTTCATTGGCAATATCTGAACTGATAAATCATGCAATTTCAAGCGTAAAATGTAACGGTGTAGTATTGATATGTTAAATTCCAATTGTCTAGTCAAATGTAGGGATGTAGTATTGAAAGCATTAAGGAAAAACTTATAAACAAGAGATATTAAGAGAATTGAAGAACTACACGTAATATGCATTATACCGTACTATCACTCAATAACAGTCAGCAACTATCTTGTTACAACTTCTATACTTCATCATTGTACTCGATATGCTCGTTGCAAAATAAGAAGCCCAAGGTAATGATGCTTTAGAAGTTTTTATAATTGCCATTAGCCAATTCCTATTCTCAGTTAATACTGAAATGCGCTTTATGCAGGATCTCCTAGTTGCTGTTGAAAAGATAAACTCTTGCATAGAAGCAAACAAGATAAAGTCGAACTCCTTTCGACAAGATGAAATTGAACTGCTTGACCTGGGTACGTGTTTTACTAGTTTGAATTTTCCCCTTTCATTTGCATTGATTTTTATTTTCTTTTTCTTTGGAACTGAAGTAGCAAAACATTCGATCTTTCTATAATTAAACAGTAGACACAATACACAGTTATCACACAATAGGAATTTCGTCAAGGGAGTTCATATTGTGTGTGATGTGACTAGTTCAAACTTTGGAGTTGATTTATCGTGCATTATCCTTTGCAGGCTATAAAGCAAGATCTTACCTATTGCTGCTCATAAAAATGAATAGGCTAAGCATCGAGACTAATGGAGGTGTGATCTCCTACCGATTCTTATAGACTTGTGTCAATCTTTTTTCTGTAAAGTCCCACCATGTATCCTTTATTGCTGTTCGTGTTTTAGATACTGGCAAAATCTAATATCACAAAGCTGTTTAAATTTCCAAGTGATTGGTTTGTTCTTTCGAACCCGCCATTTTGTTTTTTTTATTAAGAAAGTTCTCTTACTTTTACTTGCACCAACATTCTGAAATATGTGGTTAAACAGATTGAATTATTAGATGAACGGCTGCCAAATTTTGTGAACGTAAAGGTTGGGACTCATATAAGGGCGTTTCTAGCATCCGATCGCTCAAATTTAGTCGGCATGAAATAGGGAAATACCACTTCTTCGCACCTTCAATCGGAGAGTAAAAATTCAATTTCCATTTCCAATCGACATGAACAAGGAATTTTGGAGAAATTTTGGACGGTTTAGATTTAATCTCTTTGAAATGAACTGTAATTACAGGGTATGTCACCTCAGCCAATTCTCATAGTACCGGACTGTAGGATCACCCCTCGTATAAACAATATACAGTGCAGCATAGGGTTAAATTTGGGCACTCGTAATAACATAATTTAATGCTCTGAATAATGGTAGCTTATAAATATGATATCCAAAAAACAACATAATCGTATTATTTTACAATCACGAGTTACGTCCCCTATTTATGCAATACACGAAATACAAACGAAAAAAAACAAGGGGTAGGAAACTCAAAAAGGAAAAGAAAATGGAAGAAGACATAAATCATTATGGTAGAGAGACCTAAACTATACCCACTTTACAAACCTATCAGCCAAAATCTGTTACGCGTGATAAATTACAAAGTGACAACGTAATAGTTTGCACGCCCACTACAAAGCAAAGTGAGAATGAGAAGAACGAAAGAGCTATCGACAATGGGAAACAACAAACGTCTAAGAGAGGAGCTGCCCTTCCAACACTAGTCGAAAGGATAAATAATACTAACCACCACAGCCTCGTAAAAGAACAACAGGGAATGTCAATCTTTTTTTCCTTTTTTTTTGCCTTAATTCTCATTTCCAACCAACATCAAAGTGGGCATTTTCGTAAAAAGCGATCAACTTCAATTGTATATCTTCACTGGCTTCTCAAATGTGTGACGGTTCTGCAATTACCAGAAAATATGAAGTTTCAAGAAGAGTTTAGTGCTAAAGTGTATATTCGGACATACATGATAAACAGTATAAAGTATAAACTCAGTTAGAAACTCTAAAGATCACAGGAATATATATAGTTAGATACATTTCATAAAATATAGCAACCTGAAAGAAGTTTACCTGGTTTGCAGCATATGCTCTTTTAGGAGTAGTATCGGAATGCTCTAACCCCAGGTACTGCTCCCAAGCACCGTAAACATCTCTTCTCTGGAAGACAAGAATACTGGTTTCTCAGTTTTAAATAACATTGTAGGAAAATTAACTGTTCAATATCTAAATAATAACAATAATAATCAACAGAAAGGAAAATGTGACCTGGAAACGACTGGAGACAATGTCCGAGTCCTCGAGATACTCTGGCCGTCCCAATGACAAAAATGCAAACTTCCACTGGGTATTACAATAAAATAAACAAATAAATAAATAATCAAATGACCAGTGTACTACTACTTCACCGATTTATCACACTATGTATACTATGTTTGGATCTTGGATTTTAGTGATCTTAAGTGACATCATTTGAAGTAAGAAAAAAATAATCTCTTTCTGCTTCCCTTACTGTAATTCAAGATACAAACATAGCAGTAGGTGTTACATACCTTAGAGAACTCCTCATCTGAGACCAGCAATTTCTTTTGAATGCGTACTTTAACATCTGCTAATGTGTCGCCTTCATGAATGACCAAGAAGAATGGTTCCCCGAAATTCTGGACCTGCTGTTCATGAGAAAAAAATGTAAACATGCAATTACTACTTGAGTACTCGTAGCTGTATCTACTTCCAAGCATGGAATTCAGTAAATGATGAAATACCAGTTGATTCTGGGCAATCTCTTTGTTGAAATGGTAAACATGAATCAAACGATCATTGGGCCCAAGATTCTTTTCTTCTTCTGGAATCTGTCAAAGAATAAAAGATATAGATATAAGATACATGAATCGCCAAGGAAATATACAAATTTCAACTGAAGCAGAAAAAAAATTGATATTGTAAATGACGAACAGGTATTCGGAACAGTTGGGGTTCTCACTTTTTCTTCGGATAATTTTCAGAGTTCATTAGGTCGATCATATTATTCAGTTTAAAGTTATACAGTTAAGAAGGTCAAATGGAAAACAAAACTGTGTAAAACAACAAAAATCAAGAAAATATTTTGAGAAGAGAGTTCACCTCCTCGGCACGCAGAGTCCAGTACTGGTCATTTATGTTCTCAATTTTCTCATGGAGTGGGAAAATCTGCAAAAAATTGAGTAAGCAGATTGAGGAATACTCCAACGTACAGAGTAATCTATTTCTAGCTATATATTTATTTAGTGCACTGCAGGTATGGCTGCGTTATCAATTTGATGCTGCCTAGCCAAGGAGCGATACCCCGGAGGATATCCCATACCAGGCGAAGATCAGATCAGTCACCAATATTATTTTGCATCTACTTCCAAACAAAATTACAGTCCTTAACAAATCTATGCACATGACAATTTCAATAAGTGAATGAGGATGGTCAAAGCAAAGTTATGCCAGCATATCAAGAACCAAATGTTAAGAGCAGAGAAGGTTACCTTGTAAATCTTGTGATAGAAAACCTCAAGCAACCTAAGCTCAGAATTTGGATGAGACAACTCCACCTATTATAAGATGCACGAGCTGTGAGATGTTGTATAACATATGCTGCTATTTTCTAACTTTTATTCTTAGTAAAGACATTACTGAGTGAAAACTGCGTCAAAAGTTTATCTTAGAAACAGTGAGAGAAAGAAGAGGAGGTGCAGAAGGAATCACATCCAAAACAGTTTAATTTCAGTTTTCCTTATCTTCGCTTCACAACGGGACTATCAATGAAGTTCAATTTCAGAATCTGTGGCCTGGAAAACAACTTGCACAGAGCAATGAGCTAGCTAACCTTTGTTTTGATCTCATTGAGAACATCTCCAACGGTGCTTTGTTTAGGCAATCTAATATTGAGAATTACAGCCTGAAAAGGGCAGCCTGACAAGGTCAGCGTACTTACACACCTTCAGTTGTAAATGACTTTACAAGATAGAAGTAACAATATCAGTACCTCCTCCTTCGTGGCGTGATGGAAGGCGACCTTCAGTGTCTTTAAGCACTGCAATTCTGGAAGAGGAATGTCTAGCACTTCGTAGTACAGTATATCAGAAATCTATCATAAGACACCAGAAATGTCACTAATTCATCAGTTACATCAACAAACTAGCAAACCAAATACCAGAAAGAACAAAGAAAGGAAAACGGAGAGAGAGGGAATACTATATGCCAGTACCTGATTATAGTGGACAAGCATGTCTAGCAAATGATCAACCGATCTATATTTAATGGGATTGGGCTTCGGTTGCTGAGAATAGCAATTGTGAGGAGTAAGACGAATTTTTGATGGATCGTCTAGGCCAAGGCGCTGGGCAACTTTTTCCACAACATCATCATATGTGTGATTCTTTGCTCTGAAGATAGATTTTCATATGAGTCCAATTGTTTCCCAGAACAAGATATATGTGAAAAGAAAACAATCCCTTGCAAACCAGTCTTAAACATTCTACATATTGGAATATGATAGCACTCACAATTCTAGGCAAAATTCATCTTCCTTGGGTTTCTCCAAAGCTCGAAAATGCACAATCTGCAAAAGACCAAATACATATCAAATAGAAGCTACAGAGGGGTAACCAAAAGGTGTGAACAACAGTTTTATCAGGAATCACCCCCCACCCCTTCTTACTCCCTCTGGATACTGGCCAACAAGCATTCCAGTTACATAAAAGGTAAAAAAAGAACATAGATGACCTCACCAAATGGGTGGCTGAGATGAGCAGATGAAATAAAGTAAATTTTCTATTTGATATCAAATCAATTCGGTAGAATAGGCTGGAAAGCTCTGGCCAGGCAAGGTTATGGAACAAATATAAAAGAATATAATTGATTTCAAATTATCAACATATGTACATCTGGTAACTGCATCACTTATATTAGTTTAAAAGAGAAAATGTCTGCCAAAACAACTAGTATGGAAGTAAAGGATTAACCTGGCGATTTTTTACGTACTCCAAAAATGAAGGAACATCAGGGAAACGGATTTTCTCTTCATGTTCAGGCAAAGGCCGTTTCTGGAAGCAAATAATGTCCCCATCTTCGATCTGAGGGTAGCAGAAGCGGTGGGGAGGATAAGTACATACAAGGAGAGATGCACTGAAATAATAAAATATAAGAAACTAATAAATACCTGACTAAATCGAAATGAAGCTTTTTTATCAAGGCGTTCACACATAACAGTTGGCTCAAATTTTATTTCCTGTAAAATGACAAACAAGATCAATGCATAACGAGATAATGTTAAATGAATCATAATTAGGAAAGATATAGGATGTACTGTGTAACATGCTTAAATGTGTATGAGTAATTTCAAATAGTGTATTTAAATGACAGACAAACCTCAAATAGATCAATCTCTTCATCAGGAGCAAATCCAGCCATTTCATTTATTCTTGCTAGGATCTCAATGGGCTTTCCGGTGTTCTTTACGAAAAACCTCCCTATGTATCTGGAAAACTCAAGAGTAAAATGGCTACCAAGATTTACACAAAAATGAAGGAAAACAAAGTAAATAAAATCTTCAAAGAAGAAAGTAGTACCGAAGCTCTTCTTTCTCGGGATCATAGAGTTTAAAAAACAAAAGTATGTCTTCCTTATTTTTTTCTGGTGGAGGAACCGGCTGTAAATCCTATACATTCAACAAAGAAAATACAGTTGAAGCAGTAGAGATGAAATTCCATCAACAATCATAGTAACAGAAGCCTGCCAGCCAGCAACATTGTTTATTATGTAAGATTATACCAGTCCATGATGTACTTCCAAGAACAACTTCAATTCTGCATTGTGAGCTTTACTGGAAACTTCTCTCAGTGCTCCAACCTGCAGATCATAAATAGGAAAAGGCTTAAGTTTAAATAACTAAGAAAAGAATATATAGATTGATAAATAGCCAATAAAGCAACTTTCCCACGGGAATCAATTTAATGATGTATACTCAAACTGGAGAGATTCAACGAGCACAGTGACTCGGGCAACAAATTTTCACGACCACGGATCAATGTGACATATGATAAGGTAGATGGTACATAACTATGGCTATTCCCAAGAAACAAGCTGGCATGATTCCTGCATTTTTATTTATTCATTTTTTACTTCCCTTCACAATTATATCTTATCTTGTGATATCCTTTTCAATGCTAAGCAATGTTTGCTTAATCCTAAAAAACATAATTCGCATCTTCCGAAGTGTTCATAATCGATCCACTATTTGTCACATATCAAAATGAACATCTATAAAAACTTATATGATGGAAATCGTGCTTCAACCAGAGATTTTTATGAATCTTTTTATAGTTCCATCACTTTGCTGCCTAAATTATCTTCATAAACCTTCATCATCAATTGCTGGTCACTGCTAAATAGAAATCTCATGTCTAACATAGATCATTCATCTATCTGAACTTCTAAAGGTCAGCGAATGGATAGTTAATATATTTGTGCACCAAGCATTCCCAAAGAGAACATTATCCCCACATAGTCTGAATTGATGGAAAGGAAAGGAGTAATATGTATACAGTTTGCGCTTCTTCCTGGGCCGTCAATGGCCGGTTCGGACGGTAAGTATGGTTCTGTCTTTTTGCCCATATCCAAAAGCGTTGAAATTGTACTGGTATACCAAGTTCTTTGGCTACTTCTTCCTTCATAAAACACCACAACATTGGTTAGCATTTTATATTAAAACATTGAGAAAAAAAAGCTTCAGTACTTGCAGAAATTCATGAAATCACTAAAATAATGAATACCTCACAGACTCCCAAGTTACTACACTAAACAAGGGTGCCAAAATATTATAGGTAGTAACTAGATAGGAAAAATAAATTTAATAATTGCAAATTGCAAGCTTTACACGCACACAGAGCAACTGATCAAAACTTAATCCAATTCTATGAAAGCTGTATGTTTCAGAAAAGATGATTTGACTGCTTCTGTTGGCCACCACAATACCCAAAATCAACAAAATTTTCCTCAGAGGTATCCGGCAAGAGATACCCCATTGCAAAGTTGCCACAGCATTTGATCAGTAATTTCGCCTCAAAGAGAAACCATTTTTCCGTCACTAAAATCAAATTTATAATGGTCTGGCATATGAACAAAGAATCATGACTATATAACTTCTCATTTGAGTAATTTACCTTAAACTAATCAGTCAATCTTCTCATTCAAGTCACATCTTAAATGAGATATAATGTGTACAATTATGAGATCCAGCCAAGTTTTGTTAACTTAGTTGTGCTCCTAAGTCAGGTTTGTTGAGCACCAAGAACAAAGCCTGTAACACGGGGGTTTAGTCATATTTTTGTTCTTTTGCCACAGGACACTGCAAAACGGGTTTTTTTTCTTATTTATCTCTCCCTTGGCTGAACAAGCATCTGCATTCACTAAGATTGCTTTGTACATTCCCATAATTAAGGTTCACGTAAGAGTAGTAGCCAATTTCGTGGTCTCCTTGTGCAGTGTCAGTAATAGGATTCGTGTTCCAAAAGTTATACATGTGCACCTCTGTTCTCTAATGCAATCCCTCACATAACAACAAAAGGATTTTTCTAGGACAACTACATCTATATCACCATTTCTCCACTCCACTCTATCGAGGTAAATGCGAATACAAACTATAAAGATGATACAAATTCTTATGAAGGATTCAACTTCATGTGGATTTACATGGACCTCTACCAGGTTCACTAAGAGAACTTGAGCTGTCATTTTTTATGACCAGCACATCTAGCAGTTGTTATTGAACAGAGTTACCTTCCCTCCTAGCAATACACTTTTATTATTATTTCAAAACAAAAAAACGTGTCATGCATTTGACTTATCAAGACAATGACTAAGAAAACATAGTACCTTGAACTGATTGAAAGGCATTTGTTTCTGGATTCGGAAGTTACATACTTTATCATGATCTACAAGATCAAAATATATATCTTTTCCAATCTGTTCCCTCAAATCCTCATCTCGAGCAACCTGCAAATGTTAACAAAATGGCTCAATGGTCCATCTACAGAAATAAGGAAATCAACATTACATGAACAATTGTAACAATAACCTTGATAATAGTATAAAGGTGTGCTTGGGCTTTGTATCTTTTCTTGTCTTCCTTTTCTTCTTGTTCTTTTTTCAGTCTTATCTGGAGTGTGTAGGATATAGATATGTGATGTTTCATGACAAACCTCAATGTAAAACAATAATAAATAAATCCAATACGTTGCAAAAATTACCCGAAGATGTTCCGCAATATCCTTCTCATCCATATCACATATAATCTTATCCTTGTCACTCACTCGTATATACACAAGCATGTATGCATTTGAGTATTTTGTAAATTTGAACGGGGTGTTGTTGTAGCCAGGATTTGTCTGTGGTAGCTGTAAAGGAAAGAGAGTATAAGCACACAAACAACAAGGAAGTACAAGAGAGTGAAGATCTCAGACAGAAATTTCACCTCTTCCTCACCACCATACTGCTCCTCTAATGCTCTCTTCATATCTTCTTTAGTAACCCTCTCATCATCAAATTTGTACCTGAAAAGTTATTAGTAAAACATAAAGCATCCTCATATGGTTTGTAACAATGCCGAGGAAAAACAACGTTAACATATATACAAGGGTAAAATGGGAATGGTTAAGGAACTATGACTAAACTGGTGCATGGATATGGAAAATCTGACAATGATACGTCAGTAATATAAATGAAACTGGGAAACTAGAACATTTACAAAATATTCCTCCACAAGAAGAATAACATAAACATATGTAAGTGGCTGCAAGATGGGGAAGGGAGAGAGGTTATCTTCGAAACATACCATTGATCAGAAAGCGTCGGCCTGATAAAAGCATAATAATGACCACCATGCACCCCACCACTATGAACCAAAACACTGTCGGAGAAGATAAAGCACAGAAAGGAATAGAAAGTTAAAGGGAAAATTCATATAAGGGAAAGGTTTTAGTTTCCTATTTGCTGCAGATAAATAAATACAGATGCACATCTACTGGGTCTTGACACTGACAGTACCCATATACAAACCTGTCATTTTCAAAGATTGGTAGTGAGACAAAATTATGCTATGCCTATCCCAATTTATCAACTAATCCACTCTAAGACATCTCATTTCAAACATACCAAAGGTTCATAACTAACATCAGGCAAAGTAGTCACCATACATGGATACATAACATACGTATTGGCTACACTTCTGGTGTGCTTAAGATTGACCTATTATGAAAGGGCTGTCATCTAGAATTTTTTCAAGTATAATTGAATAAATTTACTGAAAAGTAATTATTTCAGCACTCTTACGAATAAATAGTACAACTTAAAATTATTGAAACATTCTTACAAGAATGTGATTGAATTTATAATTCTTTTTACATTCCCAAAATCAACAATTGAATTTTCTAAGTTCTGTTACGAAAAATTTCAACATTGCAACGAATCAACGAGAGAATCCTCCAACTCTCAGTATTCCCACAAATCAATGAGTGTATTTCTTATTGTTCCAATTGCTCTAACTTGCTGAATCAGGAACTGATGTATTTACACAGAGCAGATCTACACATGATTCAGTTACTAGCATACTGTCAAAAGTGTAAAAGCAAGTGTAGGAGCTCATCCTGGTAGATGAACTTGTATGGTATCATTTTTATTCACCTTCTGTTCTTACTGATCAAATTTTCGGTTTAACAACATCATAATCCCACCCCCTCCCCGAGGGAAGGAAAAACACACAGAGAGAGAGGGAAAAGGAAAAAAGACATGAAGGCACACAAATAGGTAGACAGAAGAGAGCTATAGGTAAACTGTGCACAGACCTGTGAAGCGTGTAAAGGTTTCGTATGCCTCTATCTGCTTCTGGTGTCAAATACTTGCCATTGTCTCTGTCTAGATCAAGTTCCAATGGAAATTCATAACGGTCATTTATCTGCAATCAACCATTAAGAAATTTTGAAGCGTCGCACTGAAAGCAGAAATCAAACTATAGGAAAAAAAGACCACAGAGCAAGGTTTTGATCAGCAACATCAACATCAGATGTTAGGGGCAAAAAGTTACTTTTGAGAATGTCTAGCAAATGACAGACCAGCCGCACAAGAACAAAAGAGAGGCTATGGTAGAATTGCATGAGAAATGATTACAAAAGGATAGTACTGAATAACTGTACATGAATCCTCTAGCTTCGAGAAATATTTCATATCATATCAAATAATCTGGAGGAAGAAAAAGGAGATTTAACAAACAAAGAACCTAGAGTTCACACTATGGAGCCACGCACAAAAAAAATGCACCTAAGTTGCAACGAAAACAAAGTGAAACAGAAAATAAAAGAAAGGCCAACTTTCTAAAATACAATACATCCAAGATTAATTTCATTACAATTCTCATGTCTATCTGATGCTGCCCTTGTAAAAGGATTGGTGAACAATGAATAATTATCCATAATCATTATACAGAAAAAAAAAATCTGAAAATCAATGTATCTCCCTTAGTTCAAGTTACATGGTTTATGTCAATATATGGTCATGTACCAATTGTGCAAACCATATACCACAGAGCATGTCGAAAATATATGCCTCCATCATCTTACCAACATCAACTATAAAAACAAACAAATATTGACCTCGATCAACAACTGAAAGATGACTATATATTACTCACCTTAACCATTGTATCCCTCATAAAGTCGTACTCAAAACGCTTCAACTGCAGCTGGAGAACTGGTGGGAAGTCCATGAACAAGACACCCTTTTTTGCGTCCTAATATTCAAACAATACTCTTCAGGCCAGATTTAACAATAGAAATAGTTGTTGAGATTAAATGTTACATCTATCAATATATCAATCTAGAACTGCAATACTGAGGAGTATCAAAGCTTACAGAAGTTAACTAAAATTCCATACATTAATGGACAACATCCCCATCAGTCTGAAATTAACTTAACCAGATAAAAAGTAACTGTCACAAAAAGCTTTCTCCTAAAGAAAGCAAAAAGCTTTCTCCTAAAGAGCATAACTATATATAAGACAATAAAGAGAAAAGCAATCTTTCTCGTCACAGAATCAGGCTACATAACACCATATAAAATAAGAACATGTTTTACAAAGGTCTTAACACCACCTGCCACTCCCAAGCTCGGCTGAATCAGAACTCAGAAAGACGGTGAAAAAGAAGAATAAAGATTTTAGAACACAAAGTACTACATATGAAGCGAGGAAAACACCAAAAGTAACACAGAGTGAAAAGATAGTCAAGACAAAAAATATCAAAGAAAGCACACTGCATTGCAATATCACTACTCCCTCTGTCCCTTATTATATGTCTTTTTGGGGTGTTTTTTTTTTGTCCCAAATTATTTGTCATTTTAGAGCTTCAATAAGGCTTAACTGCATTTTTATCAATTTTGCCCCTTATCACTCTTAATTAGTTAATTAAAAAATAATTAATGACAAGGGTATTTAGCATTTACTATGTTATTTTTAGTATAATTTATGCATATTTATTGACTATCTTAATCTACGCGTAACCACCCAAAACGACATATAATAAGGGACGGAGGGAGTATATATCAAAGAATTACAGTGTGAAACATAACGAATAAAAACTGTGGTCAGATAAAATAAATGATATCATACAGTAAAGAGGCCGATGGGCAACGCACAGTATTTAATGAGGTCATTAAATTGAGTTCATTAAACTTGGAAGAGGATGCATGCAGATAAGCAGCCTCCTTAAAAAGCGAGTAAGAGCAGCTGGCACATGGTGGCACAAAAAGGTTTGACTACATACAGCTCAACTAAGCTATAAATGGAAAGTCATGAAGGGATAAGTTCAGACTCCAAAATGTTACGTAATACAAATCTTACTTTTTTCCAGTTAGATACACGTAATGTTAATCTCATAAAAACTCGCCTTCCCCCCAAGTTTCCAACTACCCTAAATATGTAATACTGAAGAAAAGAAGTAAGAAACTCCCAACTTGCAGATACCAGAAAGACACTGATGCTGACAGTAGAGTAACAATACAAGTCGCAAATATTCCATATAACTATTTGACTTAAGTGATGTCCATTCCTGACTAATCCAATATTCAAATTTGCCAAACCACTATCCAATATATCACTGTAACTATATATTAATATGAAATTATTGTTATATAGTGAATTTATTCTTCTAAAGTTGCTCCAACTTCCAGCTCTTGAAATTGTGACATTTTACATTGCCTAAACTAAGAGAAACTTAGTCTATTCTTTGCTGAACAGCGATAACATCTCAGACATTAAGGTGAATAATGGTTTCACATAAATATATGAATTCCAAGAGACTGAAGGTCAGAGCTATGCCAACGGATTGCTATATGCATAAACATATTCGATAAAAGTTTACAACAGTGACAGAAATTTCTTAAATTTACCAGATTGGTAAAACTAATCTCCTATTCAAGTTACTGGTATAACACAGTACTCATACTTCTATCGACCACGGTAATCCCATGAATTTCTCAAAGTTTCAACTTCCACTCGGTGAATTATCATTATAAACATTCAGAGGAAGACAGAAAAATAAATGGAGAAACTGACAAAACATCATTATCTACTAGGAGCAATATACCTGCAAACCATGTCCTTCAGCCTGGTATTTGTTATCTCCTTCAAGGCGTTCAACTTCCACATACTTGTCAAATGAAGCATAGACATCCTTGCAACCTTTTACATCCAATTGAAGATCTGCCACAAGGACATTTGTTGAAATAAAAATGTTCATCTACCCTAAAAATGTAATGGAGAAGTCTGAGAACCAACTATTACCATAAAAGGACTCTTTTCTTGTAGATTTGAAGTCCACATTGATGCATTCTATGTAATTCATATGGTGCCCTTCAAATAATTTCTGTATTGTCCCTTCAACAACAGTTCCCTGCGCCAGAAGAAAAATTATAATTACCTTAACAAAAATTAATCTTTATATCAGACAACAAGAGTAAGCTCGTACTGTCAGACAACAAGAGAAAGCTCATGCTGTCGACACCAGTACCTTCATCTTGTCTTCAAGCTTTTCACATAAAACTCTGTTAAGTTCTTGCACGTCATGTTGCATAAAGGAATCATATGTGTCCCATCCAAATGATTTAGTCAACTCTTTTGTTGCAACACTGGTGTCATTATACTGGAGCTTATAAAATAAACTCTGCAACGCCAAAGGGATGCTTCCAGTGGGGTTATCATTCTCTGTTGTTGGCATGTGATATACAGCCTGATTCAATTTTTTAAAGTGAGGTTTCTGCATGCTTCTTTAATCATATCTGATATACCAAACAGTTTAATATATCAAAAGAGATAAATCCTATTTTAACCTTTCTGAAGTAAGGAATATGGTACAGAGTTTGGAGCAGAGAATTCATGTAACAAGTTGCACCCTGGTTCTTAAGTCCAACATAGCCTGTCTCCTTCTTTGAATCATATGTCCAGTAATCAACAACTTTACGTACAGCTACATCGGCTTCAATAACAACAGTATCATTCACCAGGTATCCCTTGTTGGGGTCGTAAAGCTCACTAAGAGGCATGAAAGATGTGAAACCCCAATCACTCTCCCTTTGATTGAACTGGTGTTGTGTATCTGTGAGATCCACAAGAAAGGTCATTTTATCACAACTTACGACAGTTAGTGAATACTTTATCTGAGTTGGCGAAGATAAATAAATTTCATATTCCATGACTTGGCAAGTTAATCATCAAATGCAAAATTCAGCCATACCGAACCACAATCATTTACTAAAAAACTATTCTATAGTCTTCAATTTGAGAACTCTACCGCCAAGGTGTCCAGTAGAAACTTAAGTTACTGACCAAAGGCCAATAGAACCCAGTTGCTAAGGAAACAATAAAAACTCTATAGAAGGGAAATTTCACAGCAGTTCCGAGATCTTTATCTATTTCCCAGTTGTTTCTTCCTTTCTTTGGTTTGGGAGGAGGGGAGGGAGGTCGTGGGGGGTTCGAAGTACTTCACTAAATAACAAAATTCAGTGAAATTGGTTGTTGGCAGGCACATATCATCGTTCATGTGTTGGGGTGGGGACTGGGGGGGTGGGGGTGTTTCACTCCTTGTGCATTTACTTGAAACTATGAAAAGAAATCAGAAACACAGGAGTTGTAAATGTACCTTTTTTAATTGTTAACTTGCTATGCATTTGATTAACTACAGCCAAGCTAAACTGCGCGTATCTGTTCCACCCATACGGCAAATTAGCTGAATCAGCCACGTCTAGATACATCGATAAGTAGTCCACATTATTTCCCTTTGGAAAAATAAGCACGCGCCTGCAGAGACCAATTCAATTCAAAAGGCGAACTGGTTAGTCTAAATAAAGCACAGTCGAAAGAAAATAAATCAATAAAAATAGCTTTTTAACGCATACTACATGCAGTAGTTTTTGTATTTATTTAATTCCAACAAACATAGTTAATTTCATTTATAGCACGCACCAACAGAGCTGAAAAGAGAAAAAAAGCCAAATTTAAAGCTATCAATATTACCATTTATAGCCCCCAACAGCGAAGGCATCAGAATAAAGCTTCTTATTATTCACTCTGGAAAAGGCATCAATCGTCCACGTGAAGCGTGATGCTTGTGGCTCGTCATTCGCCTGGTTTTCTGTTGTTCCAGCATTGTCCGATGGCGCCACTAAGAAATTTGCAATCTATCAAAACATAATACACATAGAACAAAACCTCGGAAACCTCAATTGGCATTGACAGAAATCGGAAATCGAACCCAACAACTCTATGCCAATTGGAACAACAATAACATCGAACAACAATGTTCCAAGAAAAAAAAACAAATTTAAGAAAGATACTTCTTCGTAACCGCGCCCATGCACCCATACACAAAATAATAAACAAAAATTGAAGTAGTGCAGCAAGAGGAGCACCTTCCATTGGCTGAGGCCCTTGGACCAACGGTTGAGGACCTTCGACTAAATCAGAGTGCGGCACCAGCATCTCTTCATCTTCCTGTTGCTACAGTTTAAGAAGCCAGAAAAAAAAATATTAATCAACAATAAGCTTGATCCCGCAAAGACATATACTTTCTTCCAAAGTATGAACATTAAATTCACTCATTCACACGCAATGAACAAATTGGGCAAGAAATCAACTCAAGTTCAAGTTACTTAAACCTCCCTTCAGCTAGTGCAAAACCCTAGTCCGATCACAATCAATCAATCCCCCCCAAACTAAAATGCGCACACAGACAACAAAATCCTCCGCCGAGGAGACCGAATTCAAAGAATTAACAACCAATTGAGTTATGCATGCATATCTACAGGCGGAGGCGACGGAAAGAGTGAATGTGACCACAAACGGAAGTAGAAAAAAAAGTGAGAGAGGAAGAAGAGAGTGGGAGTTACATCCAACGGCTGAGGAGTCATCATCGTCATGGCTGAAGATTTACAGCCGCCTGATTGACAAATCACAGAGAAATCAATGCAATTTGAGAGAGGGGGGAGAAAGATAGGAGAGAGAGAGAGAGATGAGAGAGAAAGAGAGACGGAGAGAGAATGGAAAGGCTTCTGGGTTTTCAGTGTGTTGGTTTTTTCACGGGGCCACGTTGGGGATTATTCACAAAGTCAAGGGTTAATTAGGGATTGGGAAAATTTATGACTGTAAATAATAAATAGTAAATAATAAATAATAAATAATCCAACTAAATGTGGAAAAAGAAAATGTAAATCGTCATGGGCCTTTTCGTCATTTCAAAGCGAGAGCACGTTACACAGCGATGCATCTGATTAGCCGACATTTCTTTAATTATTTTGGACCAATTAATTCCTTTTCGTTTTACTTTTCTCTTTGTAACTTCTAGAAAGCCTTCTCATTTTGTTTTTTTTTTATATATTTTATTTTTTATATAGAAATAAAATCATTAGTTGTAAATTAAAAAATGATGTATTTTATTAGACAGTGGTGTAAAAAATGATCAATCCAAATTCCACGGTTGTCTTTGAATTGGCCATGGTTGAAAATTTATTTGAAGTAATTTTCAACGTGAACAAAAGTAGTATATGATGGTTTTCCACAATAAAACACATGTAAGGAAAAATAATTAAAGACAGTTGGTCTATTTTTCACAAAGCAACTTTTATAAAAACATGTTTTAATTTATAGAATAAAAAAAAATCTTATTTTTAACATGTACGACAATTTCTTTTTACAGTTCTACCAAATTTTAGAGATAAACAAGTTTTCCTCATAATTTTATTCACTTACAATCCACTTCAACTGACTGCGAGTTCTCTTGTTAATATAAAAAAGTCGTACAAAATAGTAGCAGTAGTACATAAAGATATATGTTCACTAATGATAAGCAGTTATGCATGCAGTTTAATCATCAATGCACTTAATATGATTTGATGTGGATTCCTTTATTACTAGAAAAAACATCCAATTGTTCGGACGAACAATATTTATTTACGTATTTAATTTTACTATCATATTCAAAGTTTATCTCAATTATTTTTCTTCACACGGATATTCAATATAATGTCTCATCCACCACACCAAAAATTGTTTTCCTTTTTTTTCAACTTTAACCTAGGACTAAAAACAAGTTATGAGAAAAAAAAAAAGATACACAAATGTGTAATTTTATCAAAAGAGAATTTCCCTTCTAATCGAGACTATTTAATAATTTTCTTAGTTGATGTCATCAAATTTTATCAAAACTCAAAAAATAAAAAAATGGAGAAACAATTTAAACGAAATTCAAATTATTTTTCATTTGTCAAAATTAACGTTCGAAATAATTGATGAATTTTAATGCATCATCCAATTTTCAAAACGCAAATAATTTGGAACAAAATACACTTTTCTTTACAAATAACAATTAATTTAAACTCAAGAAAATTTACAAAATACTAATTTTATGGCAAATTCACTTGAAACAAAAGGCTTCAAAATCCTATTAATTAATTACGAGGCATGCACCTATGTGCCCTAGCTAGCTGCTGATGGCTTGATGACGAGGACAGGACAGCTGGCGTGGTGGATGACGTAATCACTAACACTTCCCATGAATGCCCTGCATGCACAATTAATCTAATTACAATTAATTACCAGTAATTAAAAACAAATTAACGTTGTTACATAGAATTAAATTAAAGCGGATTTTAATTACCTCTTGACTTTTCCAAGTCCACGACTACCTATAGCGATGAGGTCAACGCCCATTTGATCTGCCACGTTGCATATCATCTCCTTTGGATCTCCTTCAACTATTGATGTCTTTGCTTTAACCTATATTAATGTATGAACAATTAAATAAATATATTTTACTAACTTTAATATTGCAATTCATAACAAGCATATATTCCTTAATTTGAATTGTTACCACTAAAATTCTTTTACAATATAGGAATGTCTTTTTTGCCCCCATTTGCTAAAAATTCACTAAAATGGTGTTCACAACCGGTTTTAGAAACAGCTTGTCAACTTTTTTTTTACTCATAATATGTTATTACTACTAGTTGTTTGCAAAATTAGCTTTTTTGTTTTGCTTCTCTTAAAATTAGTTGCCTTAAGCTATTTTATAAAAGCACCCATAGACATGCCTTTTTTATTTAGTTGATTTTACAGCATAGTTGCAAACACCCCTCAATTTCTAAGAATAAACACTTAACTCACAATCACTAACTCGTACTTTTGAATAAACAATTTGCAAACACCACATGAAAAAGCACGAGTCAACATAATTCAACTTACTATTACAAGCATTTACCGGATTTCACCAAAATTGAATCCATGTGATTATTTTTAAAATTCTACGACTATAAAATTGGCAACGCAGTCTGAAAGACCATTATCAATTTAGGACATCATCTTAGGTAATGTTTGTAAAATCTTATTTAAAAACATAAATTAGCTATTATGGATTAACTAAGTTGATCTTAAGAATTTATTTTTAAAAATTGGGAGTGTTTGCAAATTTGGTCAAAATCCACTTAAAAATAAAGAATTAAATAGGTCCATATATGTTTTACAAATTATAGCTCATAAACTGCTTATATTAAGAGAAGCAAAACCAAAAATTTATTTTGCAAAAACCTAAAAATAACCATATAAGGATGCTAAATGAAATAAACTCGACAAAATTAACTAATTAATTAAATTGGTAATTAATTACCATTCTCTGAGTGCAGATGTCGAGTGCATGAGTGAGAATAGCAGATGCATCTTCTTCCTGAGCTTTGTTCACAGACTGTATGACTGAGGTTGTCGGGAACACGGCTGTAGTAATATTAATAATAATAATAATTAAACAACAAATTAATATAAAACTATATTATTATTATTATAAAACAATAATCCAACCTAATGTATTATAACTATAATATAAAAATATATTAATTACCATGAACTCCGGGGTTAGGGTAGACAAAGTGAGAGAGAGGTTCGATGACGTGGACGATTGTGATTAGCAAATTGGATTGATAATTTTGTGACAAGTTATCCAGAACCCACTGCAAGGCCTGGAAGCTCTCGTCGCTGTCGTCTACAGCCACCATCACTTTCATCTTCTCCGCCGCCGCCCCTCCGCCTGCTGCCGCCGCCGCTGCGCTGCTCTCCATTCCTAATTTGTGATCTGTATATTATTTAATTACTATATATATATATATATATACTAGAAAATTATAGTAACATTCATCGTCGGTTCATGATAAGCATCACCGACATAGGCACTGGAGTCGTGTTCATATACACCTCGATAAATTAGTACTCGATATCTCGATAAATTAATCAACAAATGCTATAGGCACTGGATTTTGGACTTGTTCGTTATCTCGATAAATTAATAATCGATAACTTCATAACTTATTAAAATAATAAATTAACATTCACTAAGTTAATAGAATTTGACTGGTCCCAACTATATTTAAGGACCACGACAAGACTCATCATTAAATTAAACGTCACCTTCGATTGAATTTTCGTCCGATTTAGATGTTCTCTATTTTTATTGCTTATAACTTTCAACTCCAAATTGGCTGGACATCGATCATGGAAATTACTGGTTGCATACTAATTCCTAGCTCACTAGATATAAATAACGTAGTCAACAAATTAAATAGATGATTATATATTGCAATAAGAAATTAAAATATAGAACAAAATACACATTAAAAGCTGAAGAAGTCCAGTTTAGTTGATGACAATATATATTATACAGTAGGATTATTTATTTAATATATAGATATATACAAAACTCTATAGGATTATTTAATTAGATACAAAACTCGAGTTTTTAACAACTAGCGCTTTTTTTCACTGAACTGCAACGGTCAACGGTCAACGGTCAAGACGACTTCTTCTTCGCCGGTGGTTTGACCACAAGAACCGGACATTTCGCGTGGTGGGAGCAGTAGTCGCTCACACTTCCCAAAAACGCCCTTAAAACCAAAATTTAATCACAAGCATTAATTAGTACTAATTACAGCAATTATTGAAGTATTAAATTAGTAATTAATTACTACTAACCCACCTCTTAATTTGACCAAGTCCACGGCTGCCGATGACAAGTAAATTCACGTTCATCTCTTCCACTGCCCTGCAAATTCTGTCCTTTGGATCACCCTCCAGAATCAGGGTTTTCGCTTTCACCTTGTACATCAATTATTCATTTTTTTAATCCATTTATATATGGTAAATTACACATACACCCTAAAATATGCTAAAATAACTTTAAGATCCCTGTGGTATCTATAATTACCATCACCCCTAAAACTATAACATTGTCGGACGGAATAATGCCTTAGATAAGTTATTCCGTTAGGGTTTTAACGGGCAATTAGCTTCGTTTCATGGTTCTCCTAATATTTC